TCATCAAATCTTAAGAGACAGACATTTTGACCTCATTAAACAAAACTGGGTGAACACTGATAAAATAAAACAACGTTTCATTTAACAAAAACTATATTATTATTAATCATAAAGCTTCATTTGATAGCATATTGGCTATTTATTAAAACAGTCTAACACATAAAAAAGAACGATAATAATTACTTACATAAAATGAGTTCCGTTTAAAGTTCTTCAACTTTTGCGCTTCGAATATCTAAATCAGTTTGGAGTTCGAACACATCATTTTACAGAAAAAAATATTTGAGCCGCCATGCTTTCTTTATTACTACAAACTGTTATTATATCATCTGCTTGTATAGGTATATCTCATTGTGAGGGTCTAAACTGAAGACTATCTGATATAGTCGCCAATGAGCTTCACGAAAGCTATGGCTTTTACTGCGAACAGTTTCGGCGATATCCAATCCAGTCTCACAGCTGCAATAGCTCACACAATTCCAGCGTGCGATGTTGTGAGAGGTGTTCACAGATAGGCGATATAATGAAACATTGGATAAATCAAATAATTGTTCGTCGAGGTCGATAGACGTAATCAGCTGCTATTACGTTTAAAAAAGGCACAACCTGATGGTCATGGTTTCTAGCACGAAGGATTGTTTTTAGCTTCCTGTTAGATGTTGCCGATCATGATTTAAAGTATTAACAGGGTACGAATAGTACATGGTAAAGGCTATGCTGGCAATATCTTTGGTTGCTAAAAAATTGAAAAGTGTCGAAGTATCGGTGTGATTAGCATAGTGAGTTTCTCGCCGCCCACTGAGTTTCTCGCCGGATCTTCTCAGTGGGTCGCGTTTCGGATCCGGTGGTAGGTTCTGCGCAGCACTGTTCTTGCTAGGGCCAGTGTTAGCAACACACCCGGTTTCAGCCCCGTGAGCTCACTTACACGTCAAGGAGAAGCTGATGTAGCCCAAGGCTATCAGCATAGGTAGGAAAAAAAAGATCAAATGGGAACAGAACGGCTACATGTTATTGAAACACTAGCTAATGGAGCAGTTAAATTCGAACACAATACACGACATATCCAATGAAGGTCACGTTTATGTTCATTTGCCAGACGTACGAGCCGGGAAGGAATTTGTATGGGAAATAACAGTAAAATATTTATCTCAAGCTAGCATTTTCATCTAAGCTGTGGGTGATCAAAACACCACATACGAGTGCGACATCAGAAATATACATATACCGCGTAGTACAGTAGCCAGTTCATACAACACCAGCGAGCTCTTTAAAATATATTTTTTCATTTAAATATGTATCTTATTCACAAGTATACTGACTACAAAAAGCCATATACATGTTATCAAATCTGATTTATCAAACGAAGAACTTGAAGAAATAAACATGAACATTTTAATACAATACGTTTTTTATTATTATTTTATTACTTTAAGATTATAACGTTAAACCTAACCTTTTAAGCATAATAATGCTTCAGAGTAAATGTTGTGGGTACTCCAAAAAAATAGTAACCATACTGATTTTAAGTAGTACCATTGAAAAGGATTTTACACTTTGATACGCTTATGTGTTCTATAAGGATGGGAGATTTATCGATAATTTTACTTGTACAATAAGTACATAAGGCATCCAAATTAATAATCGTTGTGTATGATGCACACCACTCTGCTCTCCTCGACATATCTAAGAACGTTTCGAATTTAGTGTAAATATTTCGAACAATTAATTGAACACACGTTTATTCCAATAATCACAATTAAATATCAATTGTATATAATAACGTTGACTGCTTAAAGGCATAGGTATGTGTTGTGATTTTTGTAACAGTTTATGAATACATATTATATATTATTATGTTTTCAGAATTAATAAAGTATGCAAAAGCATAAGTTATACCAAAATGTAGGTTGCTTTATATACATTCAAATTTGAACTAGAAATCAATATATTCATATTCCATTGCCATTATTATGTTTAGTTGATAGTCATTCCTAAACGTAATGTTGTTGGTAGGTAGAAAAATATATTTGTAGTGTGGTTACATAACTATAATCCGAATAGATTCATTAAAACAATTAAAAAATCAAGAAAAAGGTATATAAGCATATAAGCAAAAGTTGTTGGTATTTTTTTGAGCGTGAACAAGATTAGGTAGCTAATGTCCTGTTTGCATTATAAATTAAGACAATATGGTGAATCCGAACATTACATTTTTTATAACTCTAAATATATTTTATGAATTTGCTATTAAAATGACGACTTGTTTAATTAAATATATCGGGTTTCTTATTTATTTAGTCTCATAAAAATCAATGGATATTTGAATAATATATTTTTGCGCTCATTTCCCTTGGACGGTAGAATTAGCACGTTAAAGTTTTAGAATGTAGCATCTGTATATTAGATTCTTAATATTCAAAATATTTATAATAATTATTTTAACACTAATGAAATATTTCAAATGACTACTAAAGTGTTTATTAATCATTTAACAATCGCAGGTACAATTTTAATGTTACAATTACTTAGGTTAGTTTAATTCAATGTACAAATCAATTTGTTAGTAAAAACTAAAAACAAGTTAGAATCTAAGACTTATTTCATTTTTCTGCTAAGTTTTCGGTGTACCAGATTTACCAATTCTTTGGTGTCTTTAAACAAATTAAATTAAATTTTAAATTCATAGTGAAATTGAATTTTGGTTCGAAAGTACTTTGGTGTAATGAAGTGTTGGACTGAAATGTCCATTTTTAAAATGAAATTGTACGTGGAATACCATTTGACTGTTTAGAAGTATAAAATAAATCAGAACAATAGAAACGTGTCAATACTGTACATTATTTACATCAAAAACAATAAAACAACAAAGAAAAAATAAAATAATGACTATAAACAAAACAGTGTATTCGGTCGTTTGGTCATTGAAATTAGTTGGTAAAGTACAAATTTTTTTTAGTACAAAGAGTAGTTTAGCTTTCAGGGATATTATCTTCATAATTTAATAGTGCCCCTAAAGCAGACCCATTCAAAAATGAGATTTTTAAGTAACATCAAAATATATTTTAATTTCATTGTTTATCCGTGCCTGCAATACCTTTACTAACATTCAAGTTAAATTTATTTAAGTGTAAACATATTTTAAATTTCGCATTTTAATTAGTATTATCATGCGGCTATGTTTTTTTTTTTGGTTTTTTTATGACACACTTTTTGTTTATTCGATTATTGTTGGATTTTTTTCGCAAACACCATATACCTAGATATAATAGTTACTCCTACTACTGGGACAATTCTAATGCCTCCACATGTGTTATAATCCGTTACAGGTTTAGCTAGTAGTCCTAGAGTACCAAAGAAATAGTAATTCATACATACGTATAGTAACCGGCAAACATCTTGAGCAAATGACCTTGACTGCGCAGAACCGAATTTTAGATCACTTTGGTGGTGAGGGTGAGGCGCGACGGCAGGGGAAATCGTATCGAGCGCGTTATTGGTAGATCAGTCGAACCTTGCGCCCCGCACCGCGCCCTCTTTCCGCTTGCTCCCAAAAGTACGCTTGCGTACAGTAAAAAGTCTATCGTTATTAATTGTTAATTTATTTGTTATAATTGCTTGTTGACTTTGTTGCCATTGCTATATGTTGAGTGTTTGTTGATTTTTTATAAAAAATACACTATGCCGCGACAAACTGGTGTAGTATTCAAAAGAAAGGGTAGAAAAATTGTGTACGACGTATATTGCTTCATTATAAAACAGGGGAAGAATTATATGGAAAAAGTAAAACAGACTTTGGAAGCAAGAAAAACATCAGTGAGTACTGTTAGGTGCATTATTAACGAAGCTAAAGGCTCTGGCTTGCTCGCCGTGTTTCGGACTCCGGGTAAGAAAAGATCAGGGAAGAAGAAAGTTACCGGAATGGATAGTTTCGTTCAATCTGTAATAAAAAGATGTAATCATAATAACTACATAACAAGCAGCGAAACTCCGTATCGTAGAAAGGTTCGAAAAATTTAAAGAAAATATATATTTTAATGGCTCGGAATGAAGCTTACGACGAATTATGAAAGAGCTAGGCTTCAGATGGAAAAAAAGAACAGAAAATAATCGGAAGCTGGTAATTGAAAAAAGTAACATTCGATTACTACGAATCGAATATCTTCAAAAAATAATTAATTATAGACAAAAAAGAAGACCGAACCGACCGAGTTGTAAACTACACCGATGAGCCCTATGTCGACTCATCACGATGATAGCGACTCGGGTGATGAAAACAGTGATGATGATGATGGTCAAGATTATGATAACGAAAAAAAAATTACAAATACCTACCAGCTTCGCTTCAACTGAACGAAGACCTGGCAACAGCTCTAGTTTTGACTTAATAGAAGGAATATCTATTTTACCCCAAGATTAAATTATTACAATTATTAACCTATATTTTTTGTTGATGTTCTAATAAATATAGAAATAAATACATAATATGTTGATTTTAATAATTTAATAGCATTATGACGCAGAGTAAATAATGTTTTTGCACGTCAGTGTACCATGCGCGAACTTACCCCCACTACGTCGACAAATGCTCAAGAAGTTTGCCGGCTATTATACGAAAATTACTTTTTATAAAAAAAAAGTTTACATACTTTGATCGGCTACGTTTATTTTTGCTTACAATAATTGTCACAGTGACATAATTAAAAATATCTGTGAACCCGCGCATTAAACATAAATATCAATGATATTTAGAAATGCATATTTTCTACAGTCCTACCTATAATATACTCGTATTATGCTATATACTATATTTGCCATATAATATTTGTAAAGCAGAGTAACGTTAAAGTATTCTTGAAATAATTGTAAATAAATTCAAATCTTAATTATGAAAGTCACCTCAATTTTATTCTGTAAATAAAAAATAGAGTTATTTGTTGACTGACAACATTTAGTCAGCCACCCCTTTTGCGAGCATGTTTTTTATGGAAAAATAATGGTACCGCAATACTACCGCCAACTGCAGCGTGATCGCGGCCTAATGAAATGAATGAATTTAAAATGACTCGTGCCCTTGTGTTACTAATGTCTCTGAAATGTCACAAACTGACAATTGTACAAAGTTTCATCTCAATCGGGGGAATGAGGTCAGAGTTTATCAATCTCAGACAGTAATTTCTGCTAACAGTCATTTTTTTGATAAGCTATATCTGTTAACCATGCACATGTAAAAGTATTACAAATCTGGTTGCAAACATTGTTTGATTTTATCTGCTTTGGGAACCTTGATATTACGTTCAACAAGCCAATGCAATGTGCAATTCAGTTATATGATTTCTGGGCTAGTGTATAATCCCCGCATATATTTTCCCTATGTCTACATAACACATTTATATAACCCTATTTATGCCAATAGCAAGTATGTGTGTGTGTGTGTATATAATATGTCCTAAGTACTTAATTAAACGAAAACTCAAATCATTTATTAATATGGAGGGCAGTAGTGATGTTTTATTATGTTTTAGATATTGCTTCACATTACTCATACGCAGTGTTTATTGATAAATACAGTTCATAAACCATACAGCTTTAATGTCATATGAGGAATCACTTGCCAATTAGGGTGCGATAACACTGGTCAACATTGGCTTATAAAAAACGAAAAAAAGGATTTTGCTCAATAAGCATCGTCAATAACTACATACTGGAAACTTTCTAGTTCATGTACAATATTACTAAATAAATAAACCGTAAATAAAGTAACACCAGACAGTAGCATTAAACATAAAAAGAAAGAGTTGCTGCATTCTTTAACACTGCAAGTTAGTCATTATGAACTTCATTAACCCAAATATTGTAATTAGAACATTAACTACATTACCTGTTCGATATTACAAAAAAGTATATTTATCCTTAAATATCAATTACAACTATTGTGAATCATATTTACATAGCCTTTTTATGCTCTTCATCTAACAGCACGTTGAGTGTACAGCTTCTGCTTCAAGTAAATTGAAATCAGTACCATTTGGTCGATTGAATCCTGTTTTTATTCCGTCCCATCCGTCTTCCACTTTATACTCACCAGTCTGGATTCGGTTGTAGACTTCTTGAGCTACAAGTACAAATGCCTGCTCGACATTTAATCCAGTTTTTGCTGATGTTTCTATGTGATGTAGGCCTGAGAACAGTTATTCTAGTTGTATGTTACAAGAAAACGAAAAAAGTTAGAGAAAAATATATTCTGCCATGGCAATGTTTCCCATCGGAGTTCATTTATAGTCGAGAATATCACCATTTAACTACAGCACACTAATACAGTCATTTTTTCAAATTATGTATCGAGGTATTATTCAATATCTCTATAAAATAGTTGTTGTATAAATATGTATTTTTCCATAGACAGTTTCATATGATTCCATTCAGATTTTGGTGTTGTTGTACATTAGCAATGTTGAAGAGGAAAACTGCCTAATTTCAATGAAGTGGCACAATTGAAAATCATTACAAAGCTGTACATTTTAGTTTGGTTAGTTTTTTTTGTGTTTTTACATATCCAGATAAGCAGTCTTATGACTGTTAGATTAGCTATCTTAGCTTATTTCAAAACATAACAAAAAGTTAAAGGATAAATTTTTAGTTGAGTAGTTAAGGTCACATATAATCTGATTCAGAACCATAATTTATAGTAGTTGAACTAAAGAAATTCTAATATTTTTTGTTCTTTTTATGTATCTGATAACATGATTACGAATTAGCTTTAAATGTGCAAATGAAATTTCATTGAAGTGTTCAACCTGACAAACAATATTAGTGTACTGAATAATATTAAATTAGAATAATACCGTTTTCCTCAGCAAATAGCCTGGCTTCTTCACATGACACTTCTCGTCTTGATTCACTCTTGTTATCACTTCCGACTAGGTCGAGCTTACAGCCAACCAATGCGAACACTGGTCTGTGAGGTTCTATGTGCCTCTTGGCTTCCATCATCCATAATGGTATATGTTCGAAACTGGATCTGTTTGAGACGTCGTACACCAACAAAGCTCCAACGGAGTTTCTATAATACGATTTCGTGATGGAACGGAATCTCTCCTGTCCAGCCGTGTCCCAGAGTTGTAGTTTAATCCTTGTTCCATCTTGGATCTCGATGATTCTAGCGAAGAAATCTACGCCCACAGTCGGATCAGATAGCTGAAAATTAATGCGCAATTATATGAATAAATTGACAAAAATATCACATAAACAAAGAAATTATCACTCACCTCAGCGAACTTCCCGTCCGTAAAATACTTAAGCAGAGAACTCTTGCCGACCGTGCTATCTCCGATTAGGATAAGCCTGAACTGATAATCAAATATCGGATCAACCATTTTCTTTATTGTACATTCAATTCAATAACATTGATTAAAATTGTTAGCAACATTAATCTCGTCAAAATTACGTATGATCCAAAAAGATTCTGTTTGGTTTGTTTTGTCACTACAACGAGCAAGGGAAACATAGCTCATTCGGCCTAAACTTTTATGCTCCTGCACCGGAAAGGAGCAGAGCCGACGACGAGGTGTCACCATTGTGGACACGCCCTGGACATGGCGGAGCATACGACCACTGTCTGTCCCGCTTGGGAGATGCAGCGTGCAGTGTCCTGGTCGCAAAGATAAAACCGGACTTGTCGCTGCCTGGCATCGTGGCGTCGATGCTTAGCGGCGACGAGTCCTGGAAGGCTACGCTCGACTTCTGCGAGTGTACTATCTCGCGGAAGGAGGCGGCGAGGCGTATGAAGTAAAGCTCTCCTCACTACGCAGAAATCCGCCGCCACCAAGCAGGGGGTCGGGATCCGGGTGCCATCCGTGACTCGCCCCCCCCTAAGAGTTTCGGGATCTACCCGCTTTATGTGGGGTGGGACCTAAGCGTGGGGCGGCGTGTTTGGCATGCTTGTAATGGAAATCCGGTGATGGTATACCGCGTTCCCTCGATCGATCCGGGGAAGATGCAGCGCGGCCCCATCAAGGCGACACGACCGCCGACCGAGGGGACCAGCGCGGCGGCGGTCGTGACGTCAGCGGCCGCTGGTCCGGCGTCTAAAGGACAGCGAGATGAATGTAATATGGTCTGCGTCAACCTGTCCTGCCATCTCAACAGCCCCGACAGGTCTCCGGCCCGGTCCAGGGTAGGGCGCCGGCTGTAAGCGGCAGGAGCTTTTAGTAAGGTTCAACTCCCACACACTTCACCTGCCACGCAGGTGGGAATCCAGCGATTTTCTACTGTGGAAAATAAAGTCCTTTTTGCTACATGTAACGAAATTCTAAAATATCCAGCGGACTAGAGGTAGCCTGGTTCTTTTCTAGAGTTCAAACTATTTTAAACTTAATTTCGTCAAACATCATGACGACAGCCACTAGAATAGAATGTACGATGAAGTTCAGGCAACCCCTTGGAAGGCGTTGCTTCATTTCTGCGCAGGAGGTCGGGGAATGAAAGATAGTGAACTCTTCCGTTTCCGCACTGATCCGTTGCCGCGGAGTCAGGGCCGATAGAGGGTTTTCGCCCTTAATGAAATAAATATTTAAAATATGCTCACGAGTTATTTCCATGGTAAAGTAATAGGTGTATTAAAATCAAACCCGAAAAAATACTATTTGTGAAATGATTGATGATAGGATTCTTGTGAAGTGTATGGACCACCACCTAGCTTATTTGCTGTCCGGTGCGGTGAAACAGTAATACGTTCCGGCTTAAAGAGTATGTAGAACAACCGTAACCATGTAACATCAGGTGAGCAGTAAAATCGTATACCCATATAAGTAAAAAATAAAGATAGGCAACACATTTTTATTTTTTCATTCAATCTGCTTAGTAACCGTACGTAGAAAATAATGAAATAGATCAATGAGGTTCAGATGCAGTTGATATTCCCATTTCTATAAAAAAAAATCACCGTAAAACTTGTGGTGGATTTTAAAGTCTATTTATATTAAATTTTACATTCAAAATTACTTTTTGAACCAAAAACACTTACGCTATGACAGCGAAGGTATTAAAATAGGAAAGAATTTGATGAAAATCAATCAGTGGCGAAAGAGCTAACTAAAATTGATTGTATTAAACTGTAGAAAGTTTTAAAAGGTTTATTGTAGCTTTATCAGTTTCACAATTTTTTTTAATTTTTTATTTTTTTTATTGCTTGATAAATGGACGAGCTCATGGCCCACCATAAGTTAGATGGTTTCCGGAGCCCATATTTCAAAGGTTTGCTTTGATTTTCTGCGAAAGCAAATAAGACTAAACATCTAAGTATTTTTTTGCGTTGTATTCTTCTTTCAAGTTTCCAGTGATGGATTGACGCTTATTGACGGCATGATTCGAGGGGCGATAAAAAAATTTAAATTCTAAAATTACAGGTACCAAAAAAAGTAAAGCCAGTCTTCTTTAAAAATGAATTCATATTACATTTTATAAAAAATAAAATACAAATTTATTTTAAATTTAAAATAAAAATATTGTATCAAATTCAAAAATAAAAATTGTAGCATTAAAGGGGCGGCGCGATAAACAGGGCCTAGGGCGGCATCAAGCTTAAATCCTGCTACAATGAAAGACTGAAGTTCTCCAAGCTAAAAATAATATCCTTCTCTTGTGAATATTTTAAGACCAAAGCTGCAAAGCAAAGTATGCTAGGTAAAAACAAAATCATAAGTTTTAAGTAGAAAAATATCTTCACCTATTACGATTTTGAAAATTTTTAAAGCATTGTCATTGATAGCACCATAGATTATACACTGGATAGCACACTGGCATTGTTAATTGTTATGCATCTTATTCTGTAGTCTGTGATTTTGAGAAATAAATTTAATTGTTCGGATGCGGTCTAGTTTTTGATCATAAGTGAATAAAAAAGTAACTTGAATGACAATTTACAAAGCTAAATATGAAATATGATTATAAAACATGATATTATTAATGAATAAAACTCAAATTGTTAAGCTGTGTGTATAACCTACGTGGTGTTAACTTTGCCGCCAAACAAAATTTTGTAAGCTATTTAAAATGAATTAAACACTAGTAATAATTCATTAAAATGTTGTAAAATTTCGCTGTGAATATTATAAAAATGCCATTTTGAGATAAAAGTCGTGAAATTTAAATTGGTAAAATTTGAATTTCAGTTGATATGAATATCAATCTAGTATACAAAATGAAGGATAGTTTAGCAGATTTTAACGATAATAAAACGAAACCAACGCCAATAGGTGAGTACTGTTCATTTCATTAGAAAAAATAATATTTCCTAAGCGTTTAATATATTTTCATAACAGAATGAGCTTTTTACTTTATTACTAAGTGTAATACCTCAATAAAAACTCACTTAATTTTGGTGATGCTTAGTCGTTGAAAGAATCTGGTTTAAATAAATTAACAAAAATGAGATTTATCTTATTAAGAAACATTAATGTCACTTTAAAAGAGTCATATCCTAATTTTAAAAAAAATCGGGCTTACGAACCGGATTCCAATTACAAAAAGAAAACCAAGAATTAGATCTAAAGAAAGTTAAATTAATTGAATATTGATATGTTAATTTTTTTTAATCATTAACCTAAATGGAACAATTAATTTATTTTTTTAGATTGCCTGTACACAATTGAATGTTTGTAAATTATAAATTAATTTTAAACTCCAATATGTAACAAATCTATCAATGTTATTTACACTTCCAGCGAAGGTAGCTCCTGAATTAAAACAGAATGCTGATACGGACATGGGTATAACGAAAACTTGTGCTGTACTTGGATGTGACGATTGCAAGAATATGGACTCAATTATGTTTTTTAGGTATGTGAAATTCATAATTCAACATAATAACCATTTGTACTGTTTATTAAATAATAATATTATCCAGTCAGAGGTAAGTGACCATCTAGTTGTACAACTGACTTGTAGTTATCTCAATATTGGACAATATCTCATTTCTGCATGTCTAACTTGGTCAAGATTTATTGTCTAACCATGTTTTTACCAAGCAAAATAATAAGGGTAGTAAGAAGCATTAATTTACTTTTATTATTTAAAGCAATTTCAGCCATACTTTATTGCCACACTCCCTTTAAACGTTGAATACACTGATTTTCTCCAAGTGACTTTATTAAAACAATATTAATTTATTTTACAATGCCAGAAACCAGAGTAAAACTAGAAACTTAAATAGTTAAATATTAGTGAATAGTGGAAGTACATGTATTATGATTATTCAATATTGAAAGATTTCTGCTGAGCTTTATTAACTAGGATTAGAGCATTGTTTGTCTTTATAACATGAATAGCTTATATAAAGATGGAAAAAAATAAAACAAAAAGAAAAATTTGTATTTTCTGCAACATTTCTTTTTAAACGGTTAAATAGGTTATAGTCAGGGTCAGCATAGCAAATTCGAGAGAAATTCCTAATGTGATTGCAATCTACTTTGATTGGTGTGCAACAACTTTTACAAAATGCGATTGAGCCAATTTGACTTCATTTGAAACTAGATAACATTCATTCATATTTGTCTCCTGTAATCATTAAATACCAAGTGAGTCTATAAATGGCAAGATTAATGATATTACATGATTAATTTGTTTTCAAAGGTTTCCTGAGGACTCAAGTCTCAGACAAATATGGACAGACCTCACGGGCAGAAATAATTGGACTCCAACAGATTTTTCCTATATTTGCATACAACATTTCTCTGTAGATTGTTTCAAATTAGACAATGAAGACAGAATGGTGCTTGTGGATAAAGCAGTGCCATCTTTGAAATTGCCTCGACATGTTTTAGAGGTATGTAGTCAATTACCTGCACTCTTAGGAAATGCTTGTGCGAGTATTATTTGGCAGGCGATAGTGATCTATATGGCTTTGTCAGATTTAATATATCTGAGGCTCTATTAATGCAATATATATTTGTAAATCAGGTTAAAATCAGAGCATCTCAATGACAAAATAAAAAAAAATAATGGCAATGTCTGCCTAGCTCTGAATTTGAGGATACGGATCTCCTTCACTAACTTTCCTATATTTTGTCTGTAGTTGTATGTAGCATGCTTTCCTCTCCTATCATTTTTAATTTATTACTTCTTATGTACTTAGGCCTATGCGAAAGCAAAACAATCTTTGCCAATGTCAAAAGTTTATAAAAATTACATTAATAGTATGTACCTAAATATGAATTAAGGTTGTTAATAAAAGTAATAAAAGCTTCTTTATCTTATGTACCGTTTCATATCTGTATGTTTCCGAACCAATGATTTGCCTACTGCATTGAGGTAATCAAACTGTTCTCTTTTGAAGGATTGACAAACAAGAGAGCTGTTGATCAATTAAAACTTCAACCTTACATTTCAAGGTGGTTAATTAATACATTTCAAATATACAATCATTTTTTGGGAAAATATTTAGTAGTATTTTTACTCGTGGTAGGACCTCTTGTGAGTCCATGTGAACAGGTACCACCACCCTTCCTATTTCTGCCGTGAAGCAGTAATGCGTTTCGGTTTGAAGGGAGGGGCAGCCGTTGTACTGTTAAAACTGGGACTTAAAGCTCATGTCTCAAGGTGTGTGGCGGCATTAACATCGTTGATGTCTATGGGCGCCGGTGACCACTTAACACGAAGTGGATCGTGAGCTCACCCGTCCAACGTAGCAATAAAAAAAGAACTATTGTTTTAGGTTGAATACATTGATGAAGACACATTAGACAATGAAGGTGATAATTATACTCAGACTGAGAGTGACGAAGAACCAGAGAGGCCTAAAAAAATAATGAAAACCATCACATACAAAGAACCAGATATTGAATTACTCAAACTGTTCAGTGAAGTACAAAGAATGCAAAGGCTGGCTGTCACTCTAAAGCAGAAATTAAAACACAACATGAGAATACACAATAAACAGAACAGGTTCTTGCTGAGAATTAGANATAATTATATTCAGACTGAGAGTGACGAAGAACCAGAGAGGCCTAAAAAAATAATGAAAACCATCACATACAAAGAACCAGATATTGAATTACTCAAACTGTTCAGTGAAGTACAAAGAATGCAAAGGCTGGCTGTCACTCTAAAGCAGAAATTAAAACACAACATGAGAATACACAATAAACAGAACAGGTTCTTGCTGAGAATTAGAGAAATAATCGAAATGAAAAAGAAGATTTTAAATCAGAAAAGAAAGAAAAAATGTAGAATTTTATTGTCTTTGCAAGACAAAATCAAGGAAGACACAAGTGGTTTGGTTCTAGCCATGCCGATGAGACAAACGGAAGACCTAAAAAATTTTGCACTTAGTGTTTATAAATATTCTCCTCAAGCATACATATACATTCGGAATACCCTGAGAACAATGTTGCCAAGTACTGAAATTTTAGAATCGTGGGTGACTGCAGGCTACCAGCCTAAAAATGTAGCTTCCAATATGATTAAAGTGGTGGCGGAACAGACTGAAACATCATTATCTTGTAAAGTGACTTTAGGTTAATGGAATTCGATTTATTAAATAAATTAATTATGAAGGAATGTCAATTATTACTGTTATTATTCAATAACCAAAAATCATTATTTTATCAACTAAACATTTTTAGAGATTTTAAAGTAAAAATTTATTAATTACCAAAACCCTTTGGCATGTGTGGTCAGGGGGAAAGTCTTCAACGGGGACTGGAGTTTTTGTGTTTATTGCCTAGATGGGTGGACGTGCTCCGGCCCATTCGGTGTTAAGTGGATACCGGACCCCATAGATATTAACAATGTAAATACCGGCATGAGACAAGCCTCAGTTTTACACTACGACGGCTGCCCCGCCCTTCAAACTGAAACGCATTTTCACGGCAGAAATATGTAGGGTGGTGGTATCTACCCATGCGGACTTACAGGATGTCCTACCACCAATTGGAAGTAATCCTCGTCTTGACAGCGGCATTTGGCACTTTTCAGCATTGCTCCGGATTTAATTGTTCTACGCTTTGCTGGCGATGGGGTCTTTATTGTTCCGTTACTACAAAGAGATTAATGCTAGGGAATAATATAAATTCGTCTTCGACGAAGTCGTCGTGGCCTAAAGGATAAGACGTCTGGTGCATTCGTATGTAGCGATACACCGATGTTCGAATCCCGCAGGCGGGTACCAATTTTTCTAATGAAATACGTACTCAACAAATGTTCACGACTGACTTCCACGGTGAAGGAATAACATCGTTTAATAACAATAAAATCCGCAAAATTATAATTTGTGTAATTACTGGTGGTAGGACCTTCTGTGACGAAACCGCGCGGGTAGGTACCACCACCCCGCCTATTTCCTCCGTGAAACAGTAAAGCGTTTCGGTTCGAAGGTTGGGGTAGCCGTTGTAACTATACTGAGACCTTAGAACTTATATCTTGAGGTGGATGACGCATTTACGTTGCAGATGTCTATGGGCTCCAGTAACCACTTAACACCAGGTGGGCTGTGAGCTCGTCCATCCATCTAAGCAATAAAAAAAAATCAACTTTTTTTTTTGTTTTCATCATAAACAGAAGAGGTGATTGGATTTTAAGCACTTCTACATTTACCGTATTTACACCTCCCTTTTTTTCCTTCCTATGCTGATAGCCTTGAGAGGCTATTTCAGCTTGTTGACGTATAGGTGCGCTCATGGGGCTCAAACAGGGAGTGTTGCTAACACTGGCCCTAGCAAGAGCAGTGCTTCGCAGAATCTACATCCGGATCGAAAACTCGACCCACTGAGAAGTTCCGGCGAAAAGACTCAGTGGGCTGTCTATGGGTTAATTTATTCGAGCGCTTCGTCGCAAGCGACGGGTTCGGCAAGGACGGTGACCGAAACACCTCCCAAGATACCAACCAAACATGCGATCAATATCTTAAGTAGTCTCACACGTCAATTAAAATTACGAAAATTGTCGCTCTGTTAAAAACTTTCAAATCCCGATCAACAAAGTTATTTGAAATATCGGAAATAATATAATGACAGTAAAATACGCAAGATTACACCGTTATTATAATTTTATATCTACGTATCGCGTATGGAGGGTAGAAATAAGGAGCACCAGTTTGAATAGTGGACAAGTTCAAAAAGTGTCCGCTTCTAAACAGCAAGTTAGTGTTCGAACACTCACCGTAATAGCGCTAGTGTAGGAAGTGGAAATGACATGAATGTAGCAATTTGAAACAGAGTGAAATGTACTCCAAGCACCGGTCATCGTTCTCGTCGCTTGCGACGAAGGGCTTGGCGAGTTAGGGCGAATTTACATTACGAAATTAGTGGCATGAAATTAATTTCGTGACATTAGTTTTACCAACAGTTTCACGTGTAATTTAATACTTTCGTAATGCATGCATTAATTTCATGCATGTAAATTAGTTTCGTGCCCTGCGCGATTTTTTGGTGAAATTAGTGTCATGCAACTAATTTCATAGTGTAGACGCGACGTGAAACTAATGTCGCGAAAGGGCCTGCGCTATGCGGACGTGTGTATTGTTAGTTCGGACGCGTTTCAAACGTTAATGGCAAACCAACGATGGAGTACAGAAAAAAAATACAATTCATTAATGAATATCAGCGACAAGAGTGTCTCTGGGACCCGAAACACCTACAATATAAAAATAGGCATGCCCGAGATGCGGCCTACAAAATAATTATGGAAGCCATGGAGATGCAATATGTCAAAGAAGCATATATATAAGCATTTCTTTAGCTACATTGAATATAGCAAAATATAGCTTTGATGCTGGCGGCGCGGCGGCGCCATGGTTGCTGCGTTACTGTGGATTTCGCGACACTAATTTTTTAACGAAATTACTTTCGCATATATCGAAACTACTTTCGTGCAACTGAGTTCAACATGCATGACACTCATTTCGTAATGTAAACTCCGCATTAATTAACCCATAAACACAGCCCACTGAGTTTCTCGTCGGATCTTCTCAGGGGGTCACGTTTCCGATCCGGTGGTAGATTCTGCGAAGCACTGCTCTTGCTAGGGTTAGTGTTAGCAACATCGTCAGGTTTGAGCACCGTGAGCTCACCTACTAGTTCAGGCTACGCTGAAATGGTCTTTCAAGGCCATCAGCCTAGGTAGAAAAAAAAAGAGTGAAATGTGCTTAATCGAATTGAAGTTTGAGAGTTTATGGCGATGTTTTTACGCGTCAGGAGTAGGTAATAGTTGATTACCAGCAGAGCAGGTTTCCAATAAGTATCTCAAGGAACATACTCGACTAAGGAACTTGACATAACCCAAAAACAGGGCCTTTCGAAAATAACAAAATATCGTTCTGTATTTTATTCAAGTTAATTAGGTACAAAATTAACGACACGAAGATACAATAAATGGCTAAAACGAAATGATCGGGTGCTAATTGTATTAAACAAATGCAAACACTACCGGATCGGGATCGCGAGTTGTGACCCACTAAAAAAAATCCGGCGAGATACTCAGTGGGTTTGTCTATGGTAACCCGAACTACCTTTATTTTTTTTGTTGCCCTTGTAGGCAGACGAGAATACGGCCCACCTGATGGTGAGTGGTTACCGTCGTCCATGGACTTCAGCAATTCAGGGGCCAGCAGCAGCAGAGCCAAGCCGCTGCCTACCATTAAGTACTCTCCACAAGCCTCGTTTGAAGAAGAATATGTCATAGCGCTCGGAAAACACCGCGGAGAGGAACTCATTCCAAAGCCGGATGATACGTGGCAAAAAAGATCCCTGGAAAATCACTGTGGATGAACGCAGTGGCTCTAAGTAGTATGGATGAACTCTACTCCAGTGGCAGGCGGTGCGATGGTAAAAACGAGATGATGGTATCATCTCAAACAATTCCTCAGAGCACTCCCCATGGAACATACGGTACAAAATACAGAGGGAACCGAAGTCTCTCCGCAGACCCAGAGGTTCCAAACGATCTGTGAGTATGGGATTATCGACAATCCGAACGGCCCTCTTCTGTATGGAGTCAAATGGAAGAAATAAGCTACTCGAGCTATGTAGAATATGTATAAAAGGGGGAATTTTCAGTGTCCCAGAGCGGCAGTTAAGATGAGTCAGGTCCTGGGCGAGATGGTTACGCGCTTGGCTCAAAGTGCATCTCGCCAACCACGGAATGCTGGACTAGCGGTCACTGGGCCCCTATTAGACGCTTTTGGACGTATCAACATTTTAAAGGAATACGTATTTAAAATATCTATGTTGACAAACGACTTCCACCATGCCGGATAAACATTATAATGGAACCATCAATATTTTTTAATCTGATAGTCTACTTATTTCTGCCGAAAAGTAGTCATGCGTTCTGTTTTAAGAGTGGGGCAGCCGTTATCTAATACTATTAAGACCGAGGTGATGTCCCATAGTTGTCTTTGGGATCAGGTAATCACTTAACATCAGGTGAACCGGGAGTCAAATTGCAAATCCTGCTAATCTTATAAACGTGAAAGTCTGTAAGAATGTATGGATGTAAGTTTGTTACTCTTTCACGCAAGAACTATTGAATGGGTTTTGATGAAACTTTACAATTATATAGTTGACACATCAGAATAACACATAGGCTATAATTTAAAAAGATATAGTGTGTATTACCCATAGAATTACCTAAAATATAACGATAAGTGTCAACTGTCAAGTAAGTAGGAAAAAATCTGCCATTTGCGAGCTATTCTGGCGTGCGCTGTAAAAAAAACCGTTGGAGTTCCACGTATTTAATGGAAAATACGTTTATCTTAAATCTTTTATGTGTAAGTCATTATCGCCTAAAATAGTGAACTATAAAAACAATAAAAACGCACATTTTGTAGTAACAGATTCATCCTTAAATCAAAATCAATACTTTTATCGCATTTCGTATTTAAAGTAGGTACCTACTTAAACTTTGTCTCTTACACTACAGCATTTGGACAAATATTTGAATAATTGTAACTATAAACAGCTGAGTGCGTGATTTAGGAAAGATAAAGGTAGAAAATTTAATAAGATCAATAATAAATTTCAGTTTCCGAAGCGAAGCGAGAGCAGGTCGCTAGTAAGAAAATTAAATACCTACCTACAAATGGAATTTTTCGGGGTGACATGATACAATTAAGAAGCGATAGATACATTGTAGTTTAACTAAGCTTATCAATATCACCCAATATGACAGATTACGTGAACGCCACTTTTTCGTTTTAGCGGGACTTGTAATCCGAAAAGTCCAGAGCAAATGTGTTAGCTTGATCAAAATTGATTTTCGAAGCGTCATCGATTCTCTAAATTTCGATACGATTTTCAGTAGATACACATTTTCTTCGTGCGCTAAAATTATGAGCTGTGCAAAGTACTGAAACTTCTAGGTCAATGGTACGGATGATTTAAAAATAATTACAGTTCATAGTTATGAATTATTTTAAGAATGTTGAATGAATGAATTTATTAGAACTCATTGGTAACTGAATTTTAACCGCTAATAAATATGAAAAAAGGTCGATAATTATAAGTATATCGTATAAGTAATTGTGTAAAAAATGATGGTTCTTTTGGTGTTAGGGTAGGTAGAAAACGAATTTTTTTTCATTCATTTTTGAGTTACGAACCGTATTTATTACGAACTTTTTATTACGAACGAGTAATAAAAAGCGTGTAATAAATTCCATGTAAAAACATAGTTTACAGCTGAGTATGATTTCAACATTACAATTCAAATTAAAAAGAGAGAAAATTCTAACACACGAATGCTTCACCGCAAAAATGGATAGGTTTGTGGTATCCACCCTTGCAGGATTATGTAATGCCACCATACCACGAATTAAATCGAAACGCATTACGATTTCACGATGTAGACACAGTACAGTGGTGCCTACGTATGCGAATACACAATGCTTCTTGCCACGAAGCAGTCCAACGGAGAACTTGCTTTTCACATCTTCAAAATGAAAACAGCTGTATCTATATCGGTCACAATATATTTCTTAAATCTATTAATTTTGTTGTATTTTGTTTTATTTTGAAAAATAAAACTAGAGCATATTAAGAAGTCAGCGCCTTCAAATTCTAATCCGTATCGACGGACGGCGTAAGCTCCATAACCCAATTTTTCTCATTTTCACAATCCGTTAACTTGACATTAATTTCATTAGTCATATATTCAACAGATGGCGCTGTCACTTAGTCCACGTTGCTAGAAAGAGACAGCCGGAGGCGCGAAGAACCAAACAAATGTTCGGGGATCCGGCTCAGTACCGAGATTCCCTCCTCGAGGAAGGCACGACGCGATCGAGGCTGAGTCGATCTCACGTCGCGCGTCAACAAAAATAAAAACCCATCTGTTCAAATATTGTGCAAGTTTTTTATTGTTTCCTCCAAAACAAGTGCAGAGAATGTGCGTGTTTGGGTCGCAGTCTAGTCTTGACTCGTGAAGATCCTTAGTTCCATTCTTATTATTTTGTGTTCGCAAAGTGATCGAGTGGTTTTTGTTTTTGTATCGTGTGTTGTGAATGGATTTGTAAAACTCGATTATGAAGGCGGATGCGTCGTAAGGTACTTACGTTTGTTCTATTTTAGAATTTTACGTATTTTGNGTGCAGAGAATGTGCGTGTTTGGGTCGCAGTCTAGTCTTGACTCGTGAAGATCCTTAGTTCCATTCTTATTATTTTGTGTTCGCAAAGTGATCGAGTGGTTTTTGTTTTTGTATCGTGTGTTGTGAATGGATTTGTAAAACTCGATTATGAAGGCGGATGCGTCGTAAGGTACTTACGTTTGTTCTATTTTAGAATTTTACGTATTTTGTTTTATTGTGAACGTGTGGGTCTAGTTTTCTATAAAAGAAGCAAAATAAGTAAGCGAGCGCAATTGTCGTTACTGGCTAGGTCGGTAACAGGACTTTCGAAATCTTTATTCTTTGTGCGTGTTCGGCAGCCTTAAATGCAAACCGCTGCCTTAACCGGCCGACGTTGACTATACTCTGTAATACGTGTAAAATTTTTAATGTTCGCCATTATACAGCAGTAAACAATTATAAATATAATAAACAATGACGTTAGTATTCCATTCATGCTCAAAGGTATCTCTCTACGCTTTTTATGGACTGGAAATAATTTTCTATATTATGCATTACGCCATTGAAAGCATTGGTTCCTGATTTCTTTTATGTCTTAGTAATTAACTGGTTCATTGTTAACGTACACTATTCATCACTCATATAAATGCTTAATAGTCGTTGATCATTTTAAACAAATAAAATGAAATAGTCAATCTCATGTGATTAAACAAAAAAATGTAGTTACAAATGATAATAGTGGGTGAAATCTTGTCACTACTGAGCTGTTGAATGTTGAGAGAAATCAAATTAATACACTATCAATCCAACTGAGATCTAATTTGAAAATTAATCTGGACGGTTCTTCAATTTCTAACCGCAATCGCACTCTTACTATGCGAACATTTTAAAAGAATTTTCAACCAGATTCTCGGGCGTTGTTCATAGACTTTTAAAAATGATTGACTGCCGAATGTTATCCAACAAGGAAGCGAATTATGCAGTTTAGTTTCTCAGAAGATTCAGAAATTCAGAGAATATATTTTCATCTAATGATTCAAAAGTTACGGTTCTCAAAAATTGTAGAACATTGCCCAATAGGCAATAATTTGATTACCCTTCTGACTTAATATTGTTCTACTATCATGTTAATCGAGTATTACACCCTATAATTGGTTGATAGTTAATTTTCAGTCTAATTTTACGGATGAGTCGAAAAGCTATGTTAAAGGAACTGAACGACCTATATACCACAATGTAGATATCATCATGTACACTACTAGGTTATAAAAGAAAAGCCTGAATACAGGATTCAAAACAATTTTTTTAACTATTGAGTAGACAAAATACTATAATACACTGTGGAAAATCAAACGTAGTCTTTTTTTACCTAAAGAAACTGTACTAACAGGAAATCTGATGTAACTGGCATATCAAATCACCTGTTGGCAAAAACCGGCAAACGTAAAAGGAACCAAACTGGTACATGATTGAAATCGTCCAAGTTTGCGCAACATCCACACCGCTCGACGAATAAACCAAACTTAACTGCATATTGTACTGTTTTGTAATTATTGAATGAAACTACAGATGGTTTTTATTTTCTAGCTTTATTGTGATTTCTTATTCTTAAATTGACTATTATTTATTTGTAACTAGTGTTTGCTCAATGATTGAAAATTGACCATAATCACTGACAAGTTTGACACCGATTTACATTGATTTTATGTGTAAATTTATTTTATTTTATCTAATAAACGATTATTTGTAAACTTATCATAAATAATATTCAAGTTTTTCGAAAGCTATTTAACAAAACCAAAAGAGGTCGACAAACAGAGTAGAAAATAATATTTGACTGTTTGTTTTTGGCTATTTATATCTAGATTATAATATGTGTAAATCAAATTTATTATTTAAATGTAAATCACAGTTATTACGAACATTATTTCCGAAGTACATATTAGTTATTTGTTTTGATAATCGGTTTGATTGATTTGATACTGAAAAAAAAAAATATTTTTTTGAGTTACCTAATTTTTTCCATCAGCGCTTTTGTACGGAGACAAACAGTTTTAAATGAGTCGACTAGTATCAAAGCCGGCAATCTGACTTTTGGACAATGATTGGTAAATCAGAAAAACGAATTATTGACTTTGTATTCCATTAGCAGTCACAAAACTCTTCGGAACGACATCTTAGATAAATAACAGGTTAAGTATTAACCTTTATTTAATGCAGGTTTTGAACCGTATTCTTTGAAGGAGACGATTATATTCAAATCAATCTGTATTGACATATCAATAATTTTTTTTTGTCCAAATGCACAGATTGCCGCCTTTGATAATAGACGACTCAAATGTAAAATGATGATTTATAAAGTAGTATGCGGCTTATTGCTATTATTATATTGTTTTTATTCAATCAAAATTTTCCTACGTGAAAGCCATCCTTTATTGGGATGGAAGGATTGTGGAAGGTCCAGGAATGCTGCCACTTAAACACGGACTGATGGACAAGCTCATGGCTCAGCTAGAAGATTTGCCAATCGCTGCCCGAGCGGTCATAGACCCAGTCCCAAGTCCAACCCAAAACTAGATGCTTCGCGATTGCATTTACCACCGAATCGGAATAGCTCGGGAAAATATGAAAACAGTCGATTCAATTTATCGTGTATTACTCAATTGTATTTAATTCTATATGTACTTTAATATTTTATGATTGTGACTATTTGAGGGTTTTCTTCATACGTTTGCACAAGTTGTATTAGTTAGACCTGTATTTTGTTCTTCGACAAGAAATAGTGTCCGCAAAAGATTTAATATTTTAGAAGTTTCTATTACTCAGCCCACAGCGATCCAGACAATTCGGAGTTCTTTTTGTTAAAGTATCTTCCTATTGTCCAAAATCCGTCAATCTGAGAACCGGTGAATTCTTTAACCATGACACGGATACTGTTCGAGAGATTACAGCGTGAAACGAAACGCATATGCTCATTTTTTATATTATCTGTGCATTTTTCACTCACTCACGACATTGGGATTTTTGGCGGGAACGCGAGGGGTGAAGTTGTGTGATTTGTTTTATTTTGTCTATTTAGTGTTTCTTCAGGTTTAAATGTGTAATAATGGTGGTTTATTAACTGTTTAATATCTGTGAAAGTGCACAAATGTGGGAAAATGCAACAAAGCTGCTGGACGTAGCTTCTCGGGTTCCTCCAAAAAGTCCACTGAAAAAATCTCAGTAAATGACCACCATTTTACTGCGATTATATTTCATCCCATATCATCTCATTTCATTAAATTGCATCCCAGTTGATTAATGTCTCAAATTAATCATCTTCATTTCATTTCACTCCATATTATCATTTTTCATAAAATTAAGAATATAAAGTAAAATAAGACATGACTTAAAGGTCTTAGCTACCAGGTCATAAAATCTCCTAAAAAAAATCACGACATTGGCGCCTTTTTATAATTTTCAAACGTTTTATCTAATTAAGTAGATACTTATTACATACATATTGTCGCACTAAAAATATTTAACATCACTTCCACAAACCGACTTATTATTTGCCACGAGCATGGACATATACTTTCTAAAACAGAAATAATATACATAATTAGAATACATTTGTTCAGCAAAAGTAAAAGCTTTCATGACAAAAAGCAAAATATATCACTGAGGTTGTTGAGTTAGTTATTGAAGGATAAGACGGGAAGACCTGGGACTAAAACTTCCATTTAAAATGGAATATGACCGAAGATTACTTAAATGAGTCCAGTCATCGATCCTAAATGTCGAAAGACAATAGCGAATCTGACGCTCACTATGTGCCATTAAGATCGGCCAGCTAATCAAAGGGGAACAGTCCATAATTTGCGAAAACTTAAGCATTTTGCAGCATAGTTGTTTTTAAAAATACCCTGGATATCTGTTTTAAAATGCGCAAATAATACTTTAAATTGAACGCGTTGTGAAAACACTCTCATTCACTTGCACGCGTAATGCCTCCTATTTTTAAAGAACTGCTCAATCGCCACTATTAAACCTTTGAACTGAGATATGAGCATGAAGTTTTCATTATATCAGTACCTATCTTGCCGCGACAGAAATAAACAGTAAACATTTGCTATTCTCAGAGACCTACCCCACTACCTACCTGTTCATTATGTTCTAGCTGTTTTCAATAAAGACACGCAACTAGTTCTAGACCAGCAATTTGCTGATTGCCTGACCACCTGTGTGCTCGCTTAACTGAGTAACTCTTGATTAGTTACTCGGCTAATGGCTGTGTTAGGACGTTGCATCAGATCGACATTGTTTACGTTGCAATTAAGATCGTAGATTGCGCCAGATGCAGTCGACCGTCTGTACGTTTAAGACTAAACTAATACAATCTGCCTGACTCGTCGCCTGACGCTCCGGCGTCTTGTGAGTTCGCACGAGTGGTTACAAACCCAGTCTATTTCGGCCGCGAAGCAGTAACTTCAATTGAAGGGTACGGAACAGGCGTTGGAATTTGAAAATGAGACTTAGAACTCACATATCAAAGTGAATGGCCACGGTAGCCGCTTGAAATCAGGTAAGGTGCGAAAAAATCTTGTTTGCGAATTGCACTTCTATGAAACACCGCAAGCACCTTTTTTATTGCTTAGATGGATGGACGAGTTCACAGCCCACTTGGTGTTAAGTGGTTACTGGAGCCCATAGACATCTACAACATAAATGCGCCATCCACCTTGAGATATCAGTTCTAAGGTCACAAAAATAGTTACAACGGCTACCCCACCCTTCAAACCGAAACGCATTACTGCTTCACCGCAGAAATAGTGCGGACCGTGTGCGGACTCACAAGAGGTCCGACCACTAGTAATTACGCAAATTATAATTTTGCGGGTATGATTTTTATTGCACGATGTTATTCCTTCACCGTGGAAGTCAATCGTGAACATTTGTTGAGCCTACGTATTTCATTAGAAAAATTTGTACCCGCCTGCGGGATTCGAACATCGGTGTATCGCTACATACGAATGCACCAGACGTCTTATCCTTTAGGCCACGACGACATTAAATCTCTATTTAATCTCATCTCTCTCTACATCTCTATTTAATAACGTCGCCTAGGTGCCCGGAGTCAAGAGACGTGCCAAACGAGCGAGTAACACTGAACTAGGAAATAGTTGGGACGATACTTGGAGCGGTTAACGT